CAGTTTATTGGTCCCTAAACTTTTGTTATTGCACTTTTTTGGTCCCCCAACCTTTTATTGTTGCAGTTTCTTGGTCCCTGAGCTGATAATGTATTGTCATTTTTTTTTATTATGGTTATAGTTGATAATGTCTTGGTTAAATGCAAGAGTTGATAAATGCCGTTGCAGCCCTTTTTCCAAATGCAGAACACAGACATTGTTCTAGGCATAGATATGCCAACTTCAGGAAGAAACACAAAGGGAAGGAATTGCAAGCCTTATTTTGGAGATGTGTGAAGGCACTAAATGAGGCAGAATTTAATGCAGCCTTAGCAGAGTTAGGCAAATTGAAGCCTGCAGCAAGGGATGACATAGTGAATGTGGATCCCAAGCACTGGAGCAGAGCTTTTTTTAAAGCTGAAATTAAGTCATCTGTGGTCAACAATAACATGTGTGAGGTGTTCAATGCCTTACTTGTTGATGCACGACACAAGGCAATAATTTCTATGAATCAAGAAATGAGAGCTATGTGTGCAGCAAGAACTGTTGTTAGGAGAGAGTTTGGATCTGCTAAGTTTGTGGGAGAATTTGGGCCTAAGATTTGGACTAAGATTGTACGGAATAGGGAAGGTAGCAAGAAATGCAAAGTCCTATGGCCTGGTGGAGGTGGTTTTGAAGTTGAGGATTACATGAATAGTAAAAATAAAGTCAATTCAGGCAGAAACACTTATATTGTATATTTGGAAGATAGAAAATGCACCTGTAGGTATTGGGATATATCTGGGATTCCTTGTAGACATGCCATGACTGTATTGAGTTTAAAAAAACTGAGAGTTGAAGAATATGTTTCAGATTGGGTACAAGTTGTCAAGATTTAGGGCCTCTTATGCATATGAGGTACCAGTTGTTGAAGGCATGAATCAATGGACACCAACAAGGATGCCAGCCATACAGCCACCTGCACAACGGAAGATGCCTGGCAAGCCTAAGAAAAAAAGAAATCCCGAAGAATGGGAAGGAAAGAAAAAAAATGGGAAGACAAGGAAGACAAATGACCTACCAGAAATGCTTCCAAAAAGGTCACAATTCCAGATCGTGTAAAGGCCAACCACCAAATGTAAGTAACATGCAAGCTTTATTTCTATGGATATATTGGTGCACTAAGTTAATTATACTTTGGTTACCATTTTTAGGTGCCCCAAATGGAGAATGAACCATCTGTGGAGCAACCACCCCCTGTTGAGGACAACCAGCCACCTCATGGAGAAGACAACCTACCACGCATTGCTGAGGAAGAACTAGTGAACATGACCCAAAAAGATCCTCTAGTGAGTCAAGTAGTCAGCCCAACTCCACCAGTTCAACAAGCCACAACTCCCACTACAAGAAAGAGAGAGAGAGAGCGAGAAGCGTTGATCGGCCAGTAATGGGTTTAACAACTCAGTTTTTTTTTTTGTTTAATTTAATTTTTTACCCTAAAATAATGCTAACTTTGTGGTTCATGTTTGTAGAAGAAGGCAGAAAAGAGAGCAAGGAAAAATACCCGAACCCCAACCCAGCAAGAGGTAAATAACAATTTAAGTTTGTTTTTATTAATGGATAAAAGTCTCACAATATTTCTATGCACATTGACTGGTGCTGCATCTAATATTCAGGATTCGCCATCTGCGCCTCCATCTGAAACCCATTCACAATCCACAAAAACACAAAAAGTCAAGCATGCCTATCCAAAAGGGAAGGGGAAGCAACAATTTGAAGGTTTTGGAACATATGTGAATCCGAATACAGGTTTTTCCAAATTAAATGTATGTGGATTAGAGTAGGATTATATGTTCTTCTTATTTCCATGCAAAATTAATTTAGTGTATTATGCTTGCTTAATGTAATTAATGTTTATTATAGCCTGGACATAGAAGTGAAAGAATTTTGTCATTTGGATATGCTCAAAAGAGGGCTACGGGAGTTGGAGATAGAGGAATCCCCGTTGTAACTCGAACGCTTGCACCAACAGCACCTGCACCAACAGCACCTGCACCAATAGCACCTATAGTACCTGCACCAATGGCACCTCCATCTATAACAGCAACAACTCCCTCAAGAAACAGTAGGCGCACTAGGCAATTTGTTACTGCCACTAACTTGCAAGCACAATTATGGGAAAAAGGAAGGCAAAAGGAAGGGCAGAAGGAAAAAGAAGCACTTGGTCGTTGGGCAGAGTTATTGACTAAAATCCACACAGATAAACAGTCAAACGTTTAGACTATGAAGTTTTTTTTATTTGAACAGCTAGACTGTGAAGTTATTATGTGTTGTTTGCATGGATGCTTCTTTTTTGGACAGATTAGGGTGTGTATTGCCTGGATGATTGTTTTTGGACAGCCACCCTTGTTGAGTGTAAAGCTTTTTGTTGTGTGTTTAGGGTGTGCTTCTGTTTTGGACAGATTAAGGTGTGCTTCTGTTTTGGACAGATTAGGGTGTGTAGTACATAGAGTGATATTGCATGGACACGTGTTTTTGGACAGATATGGGAGTTTAGGTTGCTTGTTGTATTTGGTAGGGAATCTGCTATAATGTGCTTTTATTTTGGATTTGAACAACATATATTTTGTATTTTACTGTATATACATTGTAATTTTGGTATTGGGATTAATGAAATGCATATATTGACTTTTGTGAATTGCTTTAGGTAAATGACCAATTGCCAAATTTGCCTATCTTTGGATACCAGAATGCTTTTGTGCAGAAATTGGTATAAAAATGCAATTGAAACAACCCAGAAACTGTGTTACCTAGAAATGGAATGCATTGCATTTCAACAACTGGGAATTGACAAAAACATAACAAAAACATTATACATATAGATACAAACACCTATATATAAACACCTATATATGTCCATTACATCAACCTAAACACACCAACTAATATGACAAGTACAGCCACGAACACAACAAAAACCACACACATTATGT